CGTGGTAGCCACCATCATGGAGTTACTGTGAGCCACGTTCATTGGGTCGATGTCATTGCTGGGGTGTACCCGAGAGGTCCAGGTTCCCCCATCCATGGCCTCCGGATGGTCCGGTGGCACTTGTTGCATGCAGAGCTGCATGAACAACTCCCCCTCCGTTTGTGTGGGGAAAATGCCATGGTCCAGCAGGCTGTCTCGCATGTGTTCAGGGAGCCGAACCATTGCCAGGCCAAAGGGTGTTCTACGCACAAGATCGGGTTCCATGATGTCCCGACTCTACTATGGCCAAGCCTGGCCCAAAAAGGGTACTGCGGGTGTGCGGAGCACTAACACGTGAAAAAGGCAAGCAGGAAGAACAACACCGAAAGCCCAGGAAAAACCATCCGGGTTGCAACTGGACAGAACTGAGTGCAAGTCACATGGACATCTGTCACATCAGCGTAATGGGCGAAGCCCGAAAGGATACCAATAACATCAAACCAAGGTAAAACATGGTAAAACGCAGCAATGTTCAAATAGCCACATGCTGTAAATGATTCTGAGGCAGCCACATGCAGGTTTCCCTTTTTACTGTGTGAGCTGGCATCCCAGCGGTCTGGCCCCTGTCTTGGCCCTTGTCGTGGTGCGCAACCAATGCTATTCATACAAAAAGGAAGGTGTCTGCAGAACCGAGTGGTGACGTTGGTGCAAGACGCTACCAGGCCACCAGGTCAGTAAAAACAGCCCTTCGCAAACACTCAGCTCTCAGGCCGGCTGGACTCGGCTCGCTGCCAGCGCGTTGATCTTCTGAAGGCCTTCGAGGTCCGGGTTGCTCAAAAGGACCGACCAAATGGCGTTGGAAACATTGCCATTTCCATTCTGGCATGAAAACTTCAAGCGCTGGGTGTGGTCAGGGTCAATTTCCAAGGCCACATCTCGCGGGGCCGCAGTCGGCTCCACTCGCTTGTAATACTCAAGCCTGGACTTCACCCAGCTGTTGTACAGCTGTTGAGGTGGCTCGTCCAAAATCAGTTGGAGGTTGACTTTGACTCCCCTGTGCTCTCCAAGCAATTGGACAAAGCGGGAAGCTCCTTTGCCTTGTCTCCAAAAGCCCTGGCAGGCCTTGCAGACCCAGCCCCCACAAGTCACTCCAGCCTCTTTCGTCTTCAGTTCCCAGGGACTGATACTGCTGAGGATGAGCCCGCAATCGGTGCGGCCCCAAAAGGCATGGACTCCCCGGTGGCCGTAGTGCTCCCGCTTGTACTTGGGGCTGCATATGGACACCACGTTCTCCAAGGAGAGCTCTGGGTACTTACCGGTGCCCGAAGCTACCGTAGTCGCCTGCAGAGCCTCCGGTTCCAGCGCAGTCTTCAGGAAGCCATCAATCTCTGCCTGGGAGTAGCCCAGACGGCAATAAAAGCTCTCCGCCTTCTCATGGGGAACCAGGGCAACCCACCATAGCTCACAGTTGCACCGCCAGGCAACTTGCACTTGCACCATGCTGTGGGCCCCCAGAGTGGCTGACAGCGCCTGGAAAACGTCCGGGAGCTGCCTGAAAGCATCCAAGGGCAAGGTGATGCGCTCATCACAAACCGCTCGAAAACGGAGCTGCTCCTTTGTGTCCTGGATGTCCTGCTCGGGCAAGTCCAAGACCACCGCTGGGGTTCTGGCTAAGAAAACCGAGGCAGCCAAAAAGCTGCCAATTTCCTTGTAGAGCAGCTTGATTTCATGTTGTGATTGGGGAAACCGGAGGCCCACACTGGTGAGGAAGGACTTGATCTCTGAAGTCCTCTGCCGGTGTGCCGCCAACTCTGCCACCTTCTTCTGGCGGATGCCTTCCCCATGCCCTCTGCGCATCGGTTTGACGATCAGCGGCATGCCACACCAAGCCTGGTAGATCTCCTTGAACGTCCAGGACTGTCCAAGCATCGTGATCATGGAGGGAAGGTCCCATGATTGCACCCTCCGAACCAGGTGGGTATCGTCGGTGCCAGAAGCTACCGCCGTCCCCGGGGCCCAGAAGAAGCCAATGATCTTGTCCAGGTCTGGTCGCTTGCCCTCGGCAATCTGTTGCAGGACCACCTGTTCTGTGTAGGTTTTGGGCGTGTAGAAGGAGGTGCCCAGCGGGTTTGTCCTGAGTTCCAAAGCCAAGACCTCAGCCGTAGGTGCCGGTTTCGCCCAGGCAGGTGCCATGAGCGGGCCCTGTCGCAGTTCCCACTCTCCGCCCCAGGCTCTGACTTCACCTTTGTGGTACTGCAAGATGGAGTCAAGGATTGCGTACTTGCGTTCCAGGCTGTCCGGCGGGAGGAGTCGTGCTAACTGGGCCTCTTGGGAAGATATCATCTCCGTCCCCGTGGTGTACATGTCGAGTTGCGTTTTGGGGAACTCCGTCATGAGGCGGTCTTGGGACAGCGGAGGCTTGTTATCCTTGATGAGCTCTTTCATTCGGAGGTAGGGCTGCTTCAGTGCCTCCATGTCAAATTGTTCAGGGCCCTGAGGTCCCATGGCCGGCGCGAAGAGGTTGTTCTGCCATGCCTCTTGCAGGGCCGGGGTCCACAGTGAAAAGGACGCCACTTCAATGGGCTTGAGGGCCTTGCGTCGGTCTCTGAACTCTGTGTCCAGGGCCTTGTTGGCGGCCGCCGCTTTCTCCTGTGTGGTCTGTGCCGCCACCAAAGCCTCGTAAGAGGAGGTGAGACCACTTTCTTCATGTTTTCTTTTGAGGTAGGACCGAAACTGCTGGAGGTCAGCGTGGCGGAGCATCTTGGCACTGACCGGATTCTGGGTTTCCTGTGCACCCTGCTGGATGGCAGTCAGTGTATGCAGCTCATCTTCCATCGCCACAGTCTCTTGCTGGTGTTGAATCTCCTTCTTCCTCCTCTTGGCCTCCTGTGCCGCTTCCGTAAGCTCTTCTTCTGGTGTGGCCAGCAAGTCCACCTTGAAGCGCATCAGTTCAATGGTCTTCGGATGAAAGATCACAGCAGTTTGAGTAGAGTCTCGATCATCCATAGTGGGGGGGCGTTCGCCATCTGGATGAAAGATCTCGTCCTGCCCGAAGGCCACCACGTGCTGCTGCAGTGTCATGCGCTGGGAGGCAGGAACTTGCTCCGAAAAGCTGACCAGCCCCGTACCGGCGCCCGAAGCTGCCGCAGGGGGAGGTCGGCCAAGATCTCCCACTTCCACAAAGCCTGAGGCCTTAGTACCTTAGTATCTGTGGGAACCCAAGTCGGTCCCGCCTCAGTGAGCCTAAGTTGCCAGGACTGGCCGGCCACCTCAATCACTGACAAAGGTGTCATTGACAGGTCAACAGGCTGAGAGCCTTGACAAAGCAAACATTTGGATAACTGTCCCCACGGTGCATTGCAATCAGAACAAACTAATTGCGGAGAAGTTCCAGGGTCCTTCTCTTTCAAATTCACCATGGATCCCCCACGCTGCGTGGTGTGCCGGAGTTTCAACATCTGTGTGTGGACAGCCTCGCGCTTCGAAATGTGGTACACCTCTGCGATCTTGACCACCAAGGATGCCGTCCACGGAGAACTGCGGAAAGCATCCAAAAGGGAACGCAACTCACCATGCGTAATGTCTCTGAAGTACTTGGCAGCCGAGTGAGGCAGGGCTGGAATCAAAGGTGCCCAGCCTTCGATGGTGAAGGTCTCTGTGGTCGGATCCATGTGGAGTGTCAACGTCTCCTTCTCTAAGACCCGTGATGTCTGGGTCGGAATCTGTGCCTCTGCATGGACGAAACCCGACGGAGGTTGCCCACTTGACGCTTCCACACTTGTCTCCGGCTTGGGTTCCAAGCCCAAGTTTGCCATCACTTTCTCCATCTCATGGAGCTGCGAAGCCAGAGTCTCCCTGGTGATGGCGGGATCATCTTCAATCTCTGTAATAACCTCGGCCGGCGCAGCCTCGGTCACCTGGGTGGAAAGCACCATGTAATCGTCCCCTGCGTCCAAATCTGTCCCAATCAGCGAGAAAGAGCCCACGGTGCCAGTCTCACTAGCCACTGGACTAGAAGCCGCCATGGCCAAAGAAAAGGATCGGAACGTGTTTTTCGAAAGTATTGGATCGCAGGGGGAACAGCTTGAGCCAAAATGGCATAGCCATTTTGGCAACTATATCGTCAACACATTACTTGCTCTCCACAAGTTCCAAGCAAAGAAACAAATAATGTATATATATATATAGTGTATATATATATATATATTGTATATATATAATGTATATATATATATAATGTAAATATATATATACATATTATGTATATATATATAATGTATATATATATATACATATTATGTATATAATATACACTCATGCGTAATACGTATGTTGTAGAATACTGTAGATATGTATATAATATCAACGGCAAATAATAGCAAATAGCTACTGATAGGAATCCGTCTCTGCCCAGGTTCAAAGGACTACTATTTGCAAGGCATAAATATGATGAGTGGGCTGGCACAGAGATCAATTAGAAGCCAGGATTGAACACTAGCTGCAGAACCAACCCTAGTTTGCATGATGGGTGCACAAAGCCAGCCTGCAATGCCCGCAGCACAATGCAACATACAGGTTCTTGTCTGAGGTCCAAACCATCAGCTTCAGCTGCCTCTGGATCTACAGTTTCCTCATTCTCGTCATTCTCTTCGGTCACAACATGCACTTTGGCCAACACCATCGCTAGAGCAGAGTTGAGCTGACCCACGGAGAAACCGAAGTGATGGGACAATTCTTATGCAGGTGAGTTCAGGTATGTTCAGGTATTAGCCATTAGCTTTGCAACATTTCGAACCAAACCGCAACACATATGAGAAAAACAAGTGCTACTAGAAAGTAAGCATAGATGTTGGTGAGTTTCTTCTGTGCGGGAGCCAGTGCGGCAACAGCGAGGCTTACCACTTTGCGAACGAGACAATGACATATAATGGCATTGCTTTGATTTGAAAAAGAACCCAAACGCCAAAATGCCATTTCACCTCATGCTCCATGCTCCACACTAGATCGGACAGGTTCCTTTTCTTCAAACAATGCTGCGATCCTTTTCGCACTAAGCGCTGCCATTCCATTTCTTCTAAGATTTCTAAGGTGCTTTCTGTAGACTTTGTACAAAACGCCTGATCTCGTCATCTTTCAAATCTGCCACTATGCGCTTGGCCGATTCTGAGGCCTGTCAATGCTGAGAACTTTTTGGCGCAGGTCCGTGTTCCGTTTCTCATTCAGTCGCTGTGTGCGGTATTTTGATTATGCATAAACCTCTGACGGGATGAACTCAACAAAATCATACACAACAAAATCATACGCTATAAATCTCTATCATACTCTTTGTCCATGCAAGCAATTGTGACACTGCAGGGATTCCATGGTTTGCACAATGCTTCAGCCCCACCTGCGGTATTGGCACCCCGATTGCGTCCTCAAGGACTTCAAGCACACCAGGCTACACTTAGAAACGTCATGAAACGTCCCCATCCTCCATCTGACAAATCACCAGGGCTTAGTCAAGCTAACGGGGTGATGGCGATCAAACAAGCTCACTGAGACGGCATTAACATTTCGACAGCCTTCTACATCACAGCCTCTGCAAGAGCTATAGGCGTGTTGCTGTGCACCATGTATTCTGTCCTGCAAACGAGTGGTATCAAGCTCTGCCGCAGCCTTATTTCCAGCTCCTGCTCCTGGGCGTAAAGACTTGAACTGAGACGATGGTGCTTTGTGTCACTTTATTCATCTTATTTTCATCTTCATTGTGTCAGAGGATCAGTGTGTGACGTCACTGCTCCTGTTGGGATCTGTTGGGTGTTTCCTTTCATCTGAGAGTCTTCAGTTCTTGTCAAAGAGTTTTGCGTGCCCTGACCCACATCCTAGAAAGCGGCAAGCAGATTCTATCTTGGTACAAGTACACTATTAACCCGCAAGGATCATTTGTTTTGATTGAATTGTCTAAATCTGCCAACTTGAGATTTTCATCAAACCCTGTCCGCGAATCGTCGGAGGAGTCCACTCGGCGCATGAAGATATCCTCTCTGCCAGCAGCGAAACCTACAACTCTGTGCTCTGTGATGCTCTGTGGACATTGCCAAACTGCATTGAACTTCCAGAAAGAGAAGGCAAACTGCACAAGTACGCAAATAGACTTGACAGTTTCATGTAAATGAACATAAGGCACCAGCTATCTGTGCATAGGATAGTGTCCCTGGATTGACAAAGTTGAAAACACCAGCAGCCCTTCGCTTTGCCAGGACTGGTAAAAGGGGTATCAAATCATCCAGGACTGTAACTGATGTCTCCACGCTGTCCACCTGCTGAAACCTTGCCTGAGACAGGGTGATTACGCGACAACATGAATGGAATGCAAATACGAGCAACCAGCAAAAAGTATTATGGCCAATGCCCCAAGCCATTCCAAGATTTTCCAAGTTGCTAGCTTGCCCAAAAGGCCTCGTGCATCTAGGTCTGAGCTGAGTGGATAGAGCACTCTGATGACCAGCGCGTTTTCAAAGAAATTGGTCAACTCCTCCATCTTCTGCCTGAGAGCAGTATAAACTCCGGGTGAGCCACCGTTCGGAGGATCACTTTCTGAAAATTTTCTCTTCTTTTCCGATGTGACATACAGGGCTCCAGTTCCCACCAGTATCACGTGAAGTCCGCGTTCATGGCACGCAGCCGCCACGGACAGCTGTCCAGTGATATTTGCATCGACTGTTTCAACAGGATGGGAATCACACCACGCAATGTTTGGTCTCCCACGCTCACCAGCAGCACATATAACTCCAAGCTTTGGCTTTATTTCATCCAGAAGCGCTTCCAACCCCAACCTATCTTTCAGCCGAAGTCTTGTTGGATAAACCGAAAAACTGGAGGACTGCAAATAACGGAGAATTGCAGCACCTAAAAATCCACTCGGACCCATCAGGATGAAATCAATATCCTCTGTGCCATGTGTACAGCTCGGCACATTGTCATCCATGGCTCAATGTGACAAAGATCGCCTTTTTGCGCCCTATACACCGTTGTTATCAATTTTTGCTGTCCTTCACGTCGAGATATGTCGAGATACAGCACATTCCCACCAGATCTTTGTTTCAATGCATCATCACCCAAGGCTGAATCACAACCCCACACAATTCTAATAATTCTATGCGGGCAGAAAACATCAGAAAATCATCGTTTTGCAGCTGCTATGGCCAAGGCTCATTAGCAAAAAATGCTGCATTGTGACCCTGAGCTGTGTGCAAGCGCATTCTTTCAAACACACACACACACAAAAAAAAAGAAAACAGCACGCGTCACAACAGACCAGTTCTATCTTAATGAAATACATGAACAATGAAGATAGTGAAGCCGAAACGCGCAGCTTTTCTGAAGGCTTTTCCATGGAGCAAGCGAGTTTTCGCGGCTCCGCGTCTCAGCGTCTAAGGGCTTGGGCTCCGCCCTTTGCCTCTTCGTGGAGCACCTCCTCTAGTGCGTCCTTTCCCACCTCAGAGGCTTGAGAAACTCCCCCGATCTATTTCCAACTGATTCTGCAAGTCCATCCTTCTTTTGTATTCTTTTGTACTTTTGTACTGTAGGAACATAGCGGAACACATAGCTGTAACAAGTTGGAACATTCCAAAGAAAACACGTCTCCAAATGCTACACAGAGGAAGGGGGAGCTATTCAAGGGTTGCACCTCCCGGCGGTGCGGCACCTGCAAGACGAAATAAAATGAGATGTAGACACATAAGGACAATTCAGAAGACACATCTGACTAATCTTTTCGCAAAACTTGACTCGACTCATCGACTCTTTCATTCAAATCATTCAATCTCCCTTGCCTGCAAGTCGCAGAAGGTCTCCGCTGATCTCCTTTGCATTTAGGATCATTCAAGCACATTGAAAGAATCTAAGGATATCCGAACATATTTAAGCATATTTAATAAGCATATAATTACACAATTAAAAGATTATTTTAGCATACTTAAATAATCTAAACTTAAATATATTCAAGCATCAGATAGCATCAGCATGTTTTTGGACATGGAAGCTCGGAGCCCAAGAAAAAGCGTAAAAATCAGAATTCGACAACTGCTCCGTTGCACGGACAAACTCTATGGCTCTGTGGTCCTGGTTGGTCCGCTCCATGACTTCAATGATTCCCCTGGCTTTGGCTGCGTCTTGCCCTGGCAGATCTGGCAGCTCCAGCGACTGAACCTCTACATGCTCGAGCCATGAAGCGCCTGTCATGAAGGTGATGGCGAATCCCTTCCTCAGCGTCAGCGATGTCAGCGTCACCCCAATCTGGTCACAGACTCTTCGATTCTCCGCTCCACATTTTCTCATATGCTGAATCTTTCGGAGCACGTTTCAAAGTTAATGTCTTGTTACGGGACTCAGTCTCTCACGCCCCAGCACGGCCAGTGCGACCAATACGGTGGACGTAATCCTGTAGTCTTGTATGGGATGAATTCGGAACACGTCCGCACACAGCCTGAACTAAACAAGAACCATTTCATGACATCTACTGACGTCTCATGACGATGTTCAATGCGTGCCTCTGTGTTGTTGGCTGGATCAAAGTTTATGACCAGGCCCTGAGCAACATCCATGACGCTTGAGTGCTGGATTTCAATGTGTTGAGTGCTGAGCCGCAAGCGACACCCTTGATGTCTAATCCACGTGCAGCCACATCCGTAGCAATGAGAACCTCCATCTTGGAAACACGGGCGCTAATTAAATCCACCCATACACCCACACACACACACATCATCGAATCCTTGAACAATTGCATGATTCTATGACCTGCTCCAAATGGTTGTCAAACCCCTCTACATGCTGAAATCTACATGTCACTAAGTACGGAGCTGAATGCATTGTGGCACGATTGTATACTGTATAATCAAAGATGATCAAAGGAAGTTTGGGTAGGAAACCTCCAATGTGTCCCACTTAGCGAGCTTTGCGTAATATACATACTTGAGGCCAGGGGGAAGGTAAAAAGGCTAGCAGGGCTGGGGTAGGGTGGTAATCATAAAGGGGGATTAGCAAGGTGAAGTCGGAATGCGGCAACGGTCTTACATGGTTTCTTGGAGTTGCTGCAAGTCACAAACAGCGCCAATCTTTTAATGTTGATGAGGTTGCTGACCAGAACGATGAAGGAAACTGATGATGACCAAAGTGATGGTAACAGGAATGAGTTGATGACGACGATAATGAGGACGAAGAGGATGATGAGGAAGATGAAGATGATGGGGGTGATGAGGATGATGAGGATGCTGAGGATGAGAATGAAGATGAAAATGAGGATGGTGAGTATGATGAGCAGGGCTGTTGTGGGGTTGCAAAATCTATTGAGTCCAGCAAGCGAAAAGCCCCCAATGCAGTAATGGTCTCGCGCCAAGTGTTGTAAGCAAAAGAAACACAACAAAAAAATGCCCCCCAAATGGAAGCCCGAATCTGCATAAAGATGTTCGAGACAATGCAACATGTGTATGAAAATGATCAGGATGATGATGAGGATGATGATGATGTTGTTGACGACGACGACTACGACGACGACGACGATGATGATGTTGTTGTTGACGACGACGACGACGACGACGATGATGAGGATGAGGATGATGATGATGATGATGATGATGATGATGATGATGATGATGATGATGATGTTGACGACAATGATGATGATGATGATGATGATGATGATGATGATGATGATGATGATGATGATGATGATGATGATGATGATGATGATGTTCATGTTGATGTTGTTGTTGTTGCTGCTGCTGCTGTTGTTGTTGTTGGTGGTTGTTGTTGGTTGTTGTTGTTGTTGGTTGTTGTTGTTGTTGTTGTTGTTGTTGTTGTTGTTGTTGTTGTTGTTGTTGTTGTTGTTGTTGTTGTTGTTGTTGTTGGTGTTGGTGTTGTTCGTTTTGGTGACGACGCGAAGTGATGATGATGCGGATTGATGGGATGATGATGAGGAGATGAGGATGATTGAAGGATGAGGATGCGGCTGCGGCGGGGGTGAGGAATGACGTGATGATGGAGATGAAAAAATGAGGATATGATGACCTCTACTAGACGGAAATCTCCTATCGGGGGGGGGGGTAGGGGGGGGGGGGACCAGGGGGGGGAATTCGAACATCGGGCCCTGGCGGGGGGGGGTCTCTAACTGGAAAGTTTCCGGGTTTCCAATGTATGCTCCCTGCCTATTCCTTGCTAAAGCAAGAGCAACTTCAGCTAGCTCGTTTGGGTTCCATGCGATTCCTACTTTTAAGGCTTCAAATTAAAAGTGGGTAAGATTGATGATCTGAGAGGGGTTTACAAATCAAATGGCAATAGTACTTGATGGATACTTTTTTCTTGCTATCTTTTGTGGCGTGGTACTGGTAGCAAGGACACAGGCAGCATACACAAGGAAATGGAAGATTTGAAACCAGAAGGCAACAGCTGAATTGCATACAGTTGTGATTGGCGACACTTTTTAAATGGCACGGTTGCTAGTGCTTGCCGGTAGCACCCGAACGTAGCGCGGCGGAAGTTTTGAAAAAGGAAACTGTTATAACTAACAAAAGACGTACCTACTGGATGTGGTGCCTCTTTCTTCATTTCAAAATTGCAGCAAATTGTAGCAGCAACGTCTTTTAGATTTGTGTCAAATACAAAGCTAAACAAACGTTCCCTTTTGACAGCAATGTCATGACGCGCAGCTACAAATCCCTTCTGGTTTTCAACTGTTCTGTTTCTAGCCAAATGCATCGTTATATTCTATTTCGATCTATTTCGTGCTCCTCCTGTGCCCATGCTTTTAGTAACTAGCATCAAGATTTCTACGTGGTAAAAAGAAACTCCCGTTTTGCTCCAAAGCACTGACCTTGAATCGTCCACTTTTCAGACCATTGAGAGCCTCTTCACGCTGCCTCTGGTCCTTCCGGGCTGATGCCAAAACATGCCGAAACTACCACTAGCATTCACTAGAACATTTAATCATACTTGATTATCCATCTTGATCCACTTCATGAATGTTCATGAATGCTCATGAATGTTCATGATGCCAATGAGTCCAATGAGGCTCTTCCAAGTTGTCCTTGTCACCATGAATGGATGTGCAAGGAAGACCTGAACAGCGCAAACTTGGTCGGAAGCGAATCTTGCTGCAGCGTCCAATTGCTTCCACTTGTTTCTACTAGCGCCATAGATTCTTCTTCACTTCCATTCACTTCCTCAATCTTCTTTCCTTTGGTGTTCAATTGCAAAGAGAGGGACAAGTTTGCAGCACACTGCCTTGGCGATACAGCTCGTTCGAAAGGCTCTCGCACATTCTTTTGGTGTTGCAGAAAACGAGAGCCTTGCGGCCATAGTCAGCCATGTATGAAAAGGGATGGTTGAACCATGCAAAACCGAGGTTTGAAATCATCTGGAAATGCAGAATGTATGCTTCCGATCTGCCTTGCCGCTAGCAGTTTGGCTTGTAAGCCCAGCCTCACAGTGTGACATGACAATGTTGCACTTGTTTCAACCCTGACCCAACAGCCAGCAACTTGGGCAAACAAACTTTAAACAAACATGTTCGCATCATGATTTGATGATGTTTGATGTCACCTGCCTCCCGGAGGGTAGACACAATTTCTCTGTTTTTGTTGAAGGCATCCATGACCTTCACAATCTGTGTGATGTCCTGAGCAAGGAGCAATAAAGTGGAAACTCTTAATCATGAGCTGCAGCCATTGCTTAGATGTCCTGGTTGCCTTTCAAGACCTCTCGATTTCCAATCATGACTTTGTAGGGCCTTTCACGTTGAATCCGACACTTTCTGGAGCACTCTACCAACTTCACTGGTTTCCATTTTGCTATACCGGGAGCGCCTGTTGAGAATCTCATTCGCAAGCTTCCTCACCTAATCGAGTGCCATTGAGGTCAGGCTTAAAACAGTGTGCAAGGATCTGGACGAACATAAAAGGGCACATTGCATGGCATTGTCTGTGGCGCCGCGCCTCCTTTGGCCACGTTGCTGTGAAAAAGAGCGTGTGGCGCTTCCGCGGAAGCTGGCCGCTGTGGTCAAATGTGGTCAGCTCATGCCAACTCTGCTCATGTCACAGGGTGGCATGTTCAAATTTCGCATAAAAGGATACGAAAGCATACAAGGGCTCAAATATGATCAAATGATATCAAATGATATCCTTGAATTCCAATCATTGTGCATGATCGTGAAATGTTCGCCACACTGACCCACACCTTGGCAAGGATCTTGCGGATTTGTGGTTCAAAACCCATATCAAGCATACGATCTGCCTGCAATCTGCACTGGTGTCTTTGGAGTGAAACTGCTTGTTCCAGGTTCCATACTGACAATTGCAACACGAGGAGAAATTGCTTTGCTGGCTTTGCTTGTTTGACATTTGACAGTGTTCCAAACCAGCAGCTTGGCATCAAAAGCGAACCTCGTCTAAAACCAGCTTCAGAACTCCATCCAAACGAACCTGTTAAAGCTATGGAGTGGAAGGTTGGGTTGTGTGCAGGCAGGTGCAGGGTTTGAAAGCTCATGAAAGCTCTGCTTTTGAGCGTTTGGCACCAGTTCAAGCCCAAGACTTGCCCATTTTCGAGAAAGTCGTTCAAACGACCAGGACATGCCACGACGGTACTCGGCGGCCAGGCTGATTGGCGCAGAAGGGCATTCAACATCATTCAACTGCTGTGAAACCCTGTGAAACCATGTGAAACCTCTCAATCTGAGGCAGCTGCTGACAACCCTGTCGGTATCTAGCCATTTGATCGCCCTTGGGAGCTCCGCCATACCTTATTCCAGTGCAGTGCATCCCAGATCTTTTTCTATTTGATTCTATTTGCACCCTTGAGACTAGATCACATGATAGTCTATCGTCAGCATGTCAGTGCAGGGTCCGCTTCATCCGGGCTACAAATACACTTGAAGCCTTGGAAAGTACGCAGTCCTTCGGGCTGTACACGTTTTGAGTGGAGATAGCTGTCTGAGAGATTTTGTCAATACGACTGCATGAGACTGTTCCCTGTAGATCTGGGCAAAGTCAACATTGTTTCCAAAATCTGATCCAATTTTGGCCAGCTCATCTGTAGGTCAAAATGCTGTCAAATAGAAAATAATAGAAAGCTGATGTGCGGATGCCTCTGTATTGCCGGTGAGTGCTAAACCGGCCTTTGTTTGTGAAAGCTACAATGTGATTTGTGTGTGTTCATGCTTATGGCATCAAAGTGGAACTTACAAGTGGGAATCACATTATACAACCATGCTTAGTTGTCAATGTCTTACACAAATGTAGCGGGTTGAAGATGTTACCATCGCATACCTTTGCGTACTTCACATGGGTGACTTGCTGCTTTCAGGGAGCGCATTCACCAGTATTCACCAAACAAAAAACCCTCTTACATAGGGCTGCTCTTTGTATGGCATCGTAAGATTTTGGCACCGGTATGGCTGTGCGGCTGTGCAGGGATGACTAAACAGTCTGAGGACGAGGTTTTTTCTTTGCGCCAGGGAGGTGTGCTTGCAATGTAAGTTTAAGGATTAAAGCTGCTTGCTTTGATGCAATCGAGAACGTATAATCTGCAAAACCATGACCAACTGTAGTTCCCAGTCCTGTGCACTATTCACAATCTGCATTAAGCGAAGTTGGCTAAGAGATGGGAAGAGGGAAGAGATGGGAAGAGTATCCAAGTGTGAGCTTCCTTTACCTTCATGATCTTCATGATTGTGGCACAAGTGCAGTGTTCTTGGAAACTGCCGAATCTGCTGATCACGTGGAGCTGCTGAGGCAATCCATCGCGAGGCCCCGGCATGGCGACGCATCGGAAGCCAAGGCACTTCCCAAAGCGCTGGGCCTGGCACAAAAGATGGCCATGCCAACGTCTAGCTGTGATGCAATTTCGGTGCGCAAAAGAGATAAAAAATTGCGTAATTTCCTTGCCTCAGCCTCGGTTTGCTGTGCAAGTTCCCGCCTAAAATTCGCAAAACAAATCACAAGTTTTGTGCTGACAGCTTGGAATCTTTTCTGTACCTCTGCATTGATGCAACGTGCAACTTGCAACTTCCTCACTGAGGAAGTTCTCTGGGTCCAACGTACGATTGTGCAATTTTTTCCACTTCTCCGAAATCAGTCTTACAAAATCTTACCAAGTACATTCTAGATCTGTTCTTTGGAGTTGTTGAGCCAACATTGTGTCCGACTTAGTGACTTATTGCCTGGAGACACCTTCTTCACCAATATAGCAGCACAGCAAAGGAAGAACACGAAGCATAGCAATCTGACTGCATCTGCGATCTCGGTCGCAAACGTAGGGGACATTACCAGCGCACCAGGCCCATCTCGTTCGGGTCTGTGGTTCTGCGCCAACGATTCCACGAAGTCGACAAATGCTCACACAGCTATACACAGCTACAGTATTTGAGTATATTTGAGGTTGTCATGAAGTTGGTTCATGTTGGCAGCCAAAAAAGCTAATGGTGTGTCATTGCACAAGTTCAGTCTCTCTGCATGCTGCTAGAATATGTTCTGGTGATTTGAATTGGGGATAATGGCGCTGCCTCCTCTACCATCTGGGCAAACGCAGGGAGCAAAAACGCCTTAGTATCTGACGGGTTCAAGGTGCAAGGGGCGCAAAAGGCACTGACTAGAATGTGACATGAAAGCACAAACAGAATGCATCAACATGTTCATTTACGCCTTCCCTGTGTAGAGCAGCAACAATATCTGGTGTCTATTCTGGTCTCTTCAGAAGCGATTGTGAGAGTACAATACAAGCAAGTTGCCCACTATCTGCAGGATAGCCCTGCTTTGACTTGTTGCATAAGACTCAAATATGATGACATGTAAAAACTATGGCTATGCCGCTATGCACTCCAGCTCCTGCAATTGCATGTTGTTAGCGTAGGATGGCCCTTTGTTGCTTTTACCATGCTTTTATCCGCAGATATAATTATGCAAGCGACACATCCCAAGTGCAGCTCTGCCAATATCTACAAACCTTTCCCGTATATTTCGCGGCTCGGGATCTGTGCAAACTCAAACATCACATTCCAAACATCACATTCCATGTACATTCAAATCCTAAATACCGAAGGATGATCTTTAGATGACTCCAGAGTGACTTCGCTCTCATCTTGCTGGGCCTTCAAACTAGAGTCTTGCCGCTGCCAGTGGCAGCAATACCTCACAATCTTGCACTCACCTGATGATCATCGATGATCTATATAATTAGATACATGAGATATATGCCACATGTCGAGAACTCTCATGATGAGGTCGGTATGTAACGCTTTTCATGGCTTCACCATGCTGACCGAGCCTATGATGTCCTTCCCCCTCAAGCCCAATGGCCAAGTGTAGGCCTGGTCAATACGCTCAGGCCACCCTGAAGGCCCTGAAGCATCTCTAAAAGGCATTAAAAGGCCACGAAGGTGACTCATGGCAGCAGCTGCAACTGGCTGTGAAACAAATGGATGACCAAGGGATGAAAGAGATGAAATAAATGAAAGAGGGGTGGAGATGAAGGAACAAATTAATGCAAATCAGATGACTGGCAAACTCTGCACATCTGGAGATTGGCCATTTGCCACATTGACATGTTTCTGCAGCTTTCAATACGCTGCGACATCCATTCATCTTGAACGTGCCTGGATCTGAGAAGGAGATGGAAATCCAGCTTTCCTCGCTTGACATAAGTTCAACTTTGATCTCCATACTGCAGAAAGAGTAGTGCAGGTTGGAAAAAGGCTAGGCATGTCAAAAAAAGTGAGAAATATAGCAAATAACTCAAATAACCCAGTTGAGCGTCTTCAACTCTTCCCGTATCTCGCGTGGAAAATCACGGGCGTCTTCGAAGCTGGCAAACCTTCAACAACCAATTGATTTTTCTGATTTTCGCATCTTTTCGCTTGCCAGCGGAAAAAGCACACGAGCTCGACAAACTGAGTGGTAGCTTGGGATGCTTGGGCACGAACCGGTCTGCTTGGATGGGTTCCTGTGAAAGCATCAAGTGAAACATTGTGAAACCGGTGTTGGAAGTTGCCTCCTGGAAAACTTGCAACTTGACAGCGCCACAGACTCGGTCCTCGTCTGGATTTAGAACTTGAACTTCGTCATCTTGAGCGGTCTTTCCCGTAGTGAATCCCCTACCAGCCGCCTCACATTGAATACATTGACTGGACTTTGATGGACTCTGTCCAAGCCAGCGAGTTTTATCGCACTTTGATAAGACCTCAATGCTGACGCAATGGCGCCTCACAAGCCTCTGCCAGTGTTAAAGCGCGACCCTCAGGAAGTTGCACGGGTGAACGTGGAGCCTCAAGCAATCTCAATCACAGTCTATGTATGTCTATGTCATTTTGGTCAAATTCTGTCAAAACACACTTTGATTCCTCTTCGAGGTTTGCGCTTCATCCTCTCTGGGGACATCTAGAGTCCAAACGAAATGTACAAATCCTGGACCCCGACTTGGACAGCCCATGCGGGGCTCCTGTCAGATGGACAAATTTCAGCATATCACTTCCAGTGCTGACTACAATATGTCTAGAATATGTCTAGAACACATTCGGCATGAAGATTGAGACATGTTGAAACTTGTGATACGAACCTGCTTCGACTGCGAGCGCACCTGCTGTCCAATGAATTTGTAACAAATGCTTGTTGGTGTCTCGTGCGTACTATGCAACTGCTACGCAATAATTGCAGCGATCAATGTCCAACGAAAACCGAACAGAACAGCAACTAGCAAAACGGAAAGCAATATCCAACCGCAGTATCAACAAGTCTCAGAAGGAATCAGGCTGGCAACACCCTCCATATCTGCCACCGCCACCAGCGCCATTGTTCCTTTTAGGCAAACTTTGTTTCCGATGAAAAGCCGTAAGGGTCCGTAAGGTTTCAAACTCAAGTATGTAAAGTCATGATGCCTCAAACTGAGACACTAAGCAAAAACTATCAGAAACTGGGCCGAACCTTGGAGGCGAGCGATTCTTCGCTCGGCCACGGCCTCATGGCAATCTTTTGCTTGGACTATTATGACTATTGGATCTGTTGGTATTGAATATTGGACTCCACAATTCTTTCTCAAGGTGAGCTTTTTCAAGACTGGTTTGGATATCTTTGGATCCATTGAGAGAATAGCTCCGGCTTCTGCTAGGGCTCAGAGAGTCTCGACTATCGTAGCCTGGCTCCGTGGCTTGAACCCCGAAACGCTTTTTGCTTCTGACATCTTCTGACCATTTCTCCGCTGTGTTCGTTGACACTCAATGACAATTAATGGCAATTATGTAATGGTATCGAAATGGATTGAATCACCTCCGAGGCATGTCAAACCACTCCTACACAATCGAGATCATGGATGAATATGGATGATATATCGACATCTAGGTACATCTAATATCATCTCGTGAATCTAGTTTACACGGAACCTGCTCAATCACTGCATATCACTGCCAAATCACACGAAGGAAATAGATTGGAAAGCTATCTCAGAATAGACCAGTCTTGTAGGAGTTTGTAGGGCATCTTCTCAAACCCTTCAAACCATGCAATCATCACTGTAGTCGGAGTAGCTTGGACTTTTTCTTCGTTTTTCCTGAGAAGTGAGGCTCCTCTTGCTCAGCACAACTAGGTTTTTAAAGGTCAAATGCTTCGCACCTTCTTTTTCTTCTTTTCCTTTTTCTTCTTCTTTTTCTTTTCTTTTTTTGCCTTTATGGCCAGCTGGATTGCACACTCTTGTTGCGCATGCAGCGTTTCGCCTGCGACTTTCCGCCCAAGTCCGCCTTTTTGTCTTTCTTCAGTTTTTTGACTTTTTTCTTGTCCTGAGCCGCCAAGAACTACATTGATTCATGGTGATTCATGGAACTTGCTTGATTGGAATATATTGGAATGTTGGAGCTTGCTGCTGACATGTCTGTACAAGCAAGGCAGACATGCCAAAAGCGTCGGATTGCCGACACATGCTGAAGACTTCTCTAAGCTGTCTCTTGCTGTCTCCTTCTTCTTTTTCTTAAGTTTCTCGGACTCTGAGCTTTCTTCGCTCTCCTGCTATTTGCAGTCCAGCAGTAGGGTCACCAGTTCTCAAGCACGGTCAACGTCACCAATCTTTCATCTTGATGACAGCTGCTGTTACAAAAAGCTTCACAACCACTGGCAAGTCAAGGGCGGTCCTCATCCGAGTATTCTGAATCTGATTTAGCCATGGCTAAGTACTGCCCTATGGCCCTTTGTTTTGGTGAAGCCTGATGCATCTGAACTCATAAAAACTGCTTCAATTAGAGCAAGAGGTAAACTCGAGTTAACCGGTAGGTTTTTTCAATACTTGTCTCTTTGACAAACCAACCCTACACCGGCCAAACTGCCGAACTCCGCCGATCTTGCAAAAACTACTTGCTCCTGGGATCTCCTGGGCGCTATTGTATGCTATTGTATTGTCAAATTACGGTATGTTTTTGTCTAGAAAGCCCAAGAACTTGAGCCTCGACATGAAAAGCCAGGGGAGCCCTCGATTCGCAAAGCATCGCAAAGCCAAGTTTCATACTAAGAATTGACCGATTCTTTCCTGGTATGAGGTCTAGGCAACTGACTGCCTCTTGTCCGAAAACAGCCTTTCAAGCCAGTCTGGTGCGGTTCCCCTCGTTCCCACATGCTCAAACGATCGTGTTAGGCTGGATACTTGTTGCATGGTCTTCTTTGGTCCTGCTTAGCAGAACCCTTGCGCGATCCGGTCATAAATGGGCGCTATTGCACATGCTGAACATGATTGGGCTCAGCTCATGCAGAAGCTTCGAGGCTCAGGCCACTTGGGAATTAATGAACAGTCTGTCACATGAATGCAAGCAAAAAGTATCAAAAAGTCAAAAAACATGTCAAACAGATGCATATTTTTCAACGTTAAAATTTAAAAACAAACAGATCCAACGAAAGCAAACTGGGTGATACATCTTGCACTTCGGATTCAGGCGCGTGGAGCTCGTAATTCTGCGGTGGGATAAACATGAATAGACTGAAATTGATCAATACCCAGAGACGCCTGTTGAACAGAATGCTTGCGAGGTTGAAATATTTCCCACATGAATCAACATGAATCGAAATTAAATGTACAAATGAAGAGCTGCCACGGTGCTGCGGTCAAATCAGGAGCTGCCTGGCCAGGATTTAAGAATTGGAATCTGTTAAAAAAAAGGTCAGGAACAACATGTGACACTCAGCATGGATGAAATGCAAGGGCTGTGTCAGGCCAGCGGTACACATTTTTCATTGGCAGGAATGCCCTTGTTGGTCTTGCGGATGAAGACCTGACGTTTACAAACCCACAAGCTCTCCCTGCTCCATATTCGTCTCTGTAATGATGCTTGTTTTCTGCTGGATGGAGGCTTGCGGATCACTGTGAACTCAAATAATGAATGGTCCGAATTCAATCGTAAAGTCTTCGTTAGGTCCAAAACTGTCTGTCTGCCTGCCTGTCTGTCGGTCCCTCTGTACGTATTGCGGCTATGTGCATATAATAATAATAACAATAATAATGATAATAATGATAATAATAATAATTAATAATAATAGTAATTAATAATAATAATTATTATTAATAATAATAAATAATAATAAAAATAAATAATAATTAATAATAATAATTAATAATAATAATAATTATTATTATTAATAATAATAATAATATATACATAGTTGTGTATATATAATTGTATATATATATAATTGTATATATATATATATTATACACGTATATATAGTATTTGATCTAAATTCTTTCATCCGGAAACGGCCATCCTTCGCGAACTATCATTTTACTTTTGCGAAACTGTCGCGAACTACGTGTTTATCTTGCGCGTGACGCATGTAGGACAACGATGCCTCTTATGACGACTCAGTCATTACCTGCTAAATGATCATAGATTACTTCATGTCTTTCTTCTTGCTTCCACACAGAGCGGTTGAAGTAATAGCCTAGTAAACATGCCGCTAGCATAACAGAATCCGTTCTCAGGACAAATGGTTGCTTTTTGGGCAAATAGATGCAAATAGTAGATTATATTTGCAAGGCTTCCTGGGCCAACCCCGTCAAAATGCAATTTCACTTTCGCCTGCTCCGTCAAGTAACTCTCGCGAAAATATCCTTGTAAGGTATATATATATACATATATGTATATACATATATGTATAACATACATATGTGTATATATATATATGTATATATGTGTACAATGATGATTCTTAATATTAATATCTAACTTTTGCGAACCTTTAACAAACAACTTTTTATATACTTTCGCAAACTCGAACAACGCCCTTCGCCATGTTTCAAAAACACAACATGAATGGTCTTCGCAATCATATTTTTTTACAAGGACCGTTAGATCATAAAAATATATAACTATATATATATATAATTATATATAATAATATTATATCACATATATTTCATAAATACACATACTATGATATGTAGCCTCTGATTCCTATACTATCTATATGGCAATCATTGCTGGATGAATCCCATTGAATCCCTCATTCCCTCTGCCTTTTGGCAGTTTCTGGGGCCACATCTCCTGGCAAAAGATTGCAAAAGATTGCAGAAGCCAAGTAAATCTCCGATGCAACATATGCAACATATGCAACACTTCAAATCGGAACACGACTAGGAGCATCTCGGTCAAACAGGCAGACCTTGTTGGATTTCTAGTCTTTCAGGCAGAGTTGGCACGAATTGCAACAACACATTGTTTTTTTTGTGAGACCGTCCTGTGGGCGAGTTCTTTCGCATTGGCGGCAAAACGAATGCACACCTGCGTTACTATTGCGCATAAAAGAAGAACTCTCGCTCCATCATCGCAACAAAGACCACCAAGGTCCAAGCCTTGGGGGTCCCGGTGCAGAGCGGCTGCGCTTACTTGACCTCAACCAAGCAGGAATGGTCAGCCGGCTGGGCATCTGAAACCTTTGCAAAACAAATGCGTTGATTGCTTGAGAAATCCTAGATCCAACTCTCAAATGAAACTTGCAGGCTGAACTTAAACAAGCACGTGCGTATGTGCACCTTTACAGGTGAAGATCTGCACAGCATACCGATATCAACGCAGAAATAATATCCAGATACAAAGGGACGGCACATGGACAAGACTATGCAAACTGCAACACGTTCAATGTGGACTCATGCAAAGGCAATGACTGGCAAGAGCATGAAAACATGTATGAGCCGGAGACTAAAGCCCCACAGCAATTTCCACAACCAAGATAATTCTGCAAAATTATAACAATTGCAGAGACTGCATCCCACAACGCATCCCCGATCCTTTTCAGCCTGGACATGGACAGGCAATCAATACGAAAGGGATAAACGCAGAATCTTGTACTGTGAGCGTGTCAACCGCTTGCTATTAAGATATCTAGTGTAGATGGTGCACAGGAATGGGGCTTCAAGAACAGAAAACTGCAAATAATATGACTAGTATCAACAAAACCATAACTATTTCGCCAGGGGGTCGATGTTTGCCCGACATCGACGGAAATTTATGCGAAAATGCAATGTGCTGTGCTTTTTCTGCGTATGTCTATGGCAAAGTGCACACATGCAAAAGATTGATATTGCCTGCGTCTCGTTTTATTTTTGCGCTTACCTAAGATGGTGCCCAGACATACCAAAACATACCAATTCCGAAACCACGTATTGAACAATTTTTGGAACATATTCTTCATAACTTGTAAGGTTTCGATCCTCACCGCTTCGGGAGGAGACGCCGGCGCCACGGGTGACATCGGCAAACAGAAACCCTTACTGTATCTTGACATATTGTTACTAACAACTAACAACCTGAAACTCTGTTACTGACTTAACACAGCGGAAACTCTACAAGAGACCTAAATTAATCGCAAACCAACCCTAAGTTCGAAACTAAATTGGCCCTACAATGGATCAGCCCTAAACAACCCAAAAAGAACCCTAGAACAACCCCAAAGCAACCCTGAACATCTTGAACAAATAAACCCGAAAGAAATGCTAAAGTGCCTAAACCCTCAAGAACAACTTTGGGCGAACATCTGCCCCGGGCGAAGATGATACTCAACACATTAAGAACAACAAGGCAAAATTGTTCGGAGTGATTTTTCATGATTTTCCGTAGTTTTTCAAATTAAAATTACTCAAAGACTTCGGAGGGCAATTTGCCCACCTCGGTGGCGGAGCAGGTTGCCTGAGACATGATGCTGCGAGCTTGCAGACCATGCGTTGAATCAGCTCGAAACATGCTTGAGATAAAATGTTCATATGACATTTTAAATACATTCAAAAAGATTCAATAAACCATAATTAGCATTAATTAGCCATGATATGCCATGATGAACCAAGTGGATCGATCCAAATGGTTGATGTCTATGCAACTCATTGGATGACATTGCAGGTCAAATTCACATTTCTGTGCCTGCTTGCTCCCGGGGCTGATGCAGCGCTTCCTCGCCTTTGAAACACATGCAATGGATTAACGATGAAAACTTCACCTGGATCTCCAAAACAAGCGCTATCTTGCAGAATCCACATACATTGAAATAGCATCGGAATGCATCGTCAAATATCCCTAACCTTCAAAGCAAAATGAGGCACACACGCTGGAGGGCGCGGCGGTCTCTCTGAATGACTAGGCTTGTCATCCTCTCATCGCGCATAAGCCGCATAAGCATATTGTTCACACATTGTTTCTCCTCAACGTTTTCTCTTCCAAGCTACAGTGTGTCTTTGATCAATTTTATTTCTCTGGACCAACAAATGCAAACACATATAAACAACACCTGCCTGAGCAAGGTCTTTCTTTTTCGAAATGTGCAAAGGCCTGTAAGGAGACAGGGAAGTACCAGGGAGTCATGGAAGCACACTATCCATTTCCTCATTTCCCCTGAAACGAATCCTGCCAACCCCACTGTAAGACTTGGGTGCAGACTTGAACACGTCTCGCACTCGGCTCTCGATTGTGAGCAGCTGCCTAGGAAGAAACTTGACAAACCACTTCAAATTTGAAGCCAAGGTGGGACGCATGGCTGCAGTGAAAAAAACACATTGGAGAGAACCTGCCAGACTTGGCAGGGATGCAAACTCGGATGCACTTGGTCTGTGATGTGGGGTCGGTGGTGCAAGCTTTGATCTTACTCATGTCTTCCCGAGTCTTCCCTAGCTAAGCTTTGACACTCAGCAGCACTGAACAGCTCGACCAGCATGACCGTTTGTC